TGGTGGGGGGGGGGGGTGGGGGCTGGAGGTTCTTGGGAAGTGGGTGGGAGCGGGGGCTTCGCGAGTCGCTGCGCGCGGCAGGCTGCCCTGCCTCGCCCCGCCTGCTCGCTGCCGCGCGCGGCTGCACACGCCTGCACGCTGCCATTGGCTGGGGCATGCACCGGGCGAGGATGATAGAATGTACCCGCGCTTCTGAGCGGCCCTGTGCCCCTCTGAAGAGACTGTACACAATCATGGTTGAATTTCTTCAGCTGAGCCCACCGGCAAGCAAGAGCGCCGCTGCATGCACCGCACTCCATCCCGTGCCGCGCTGCGCTGTACTGCGCCGTACTGCCACCAGCCGTGTCCGCTCGCTGCGCTCGTGTGTGTACTGCACCATTGACGCCATGCTGCAACCTGCCTCGCCTTGCCCCTCCTGCGCCTCCTGCAGGTGCTGGAGCAGCTGCTTGACGAGAATGATTCCGATCCCAATGTGAGCTGTTTGGCAGCGCTTTAGAGCCACAACCTGTGCTGAGCAGGGACAGCAGCTTGGTCCGGAGCCATGCAGCAGGGCGCCGAGCACAGCAGCCTCTGCATTGCCCTTCCGCTTTGCCGCAGGTGTGGCTGCTGCTGGCGCTGTGCTGCCAAAGCGGCGGCGACCTGGAGGGCGCGCTGGGCGCAGGTGGGCGCCTTCTCTTTCGTTTCTTTCTTATTTTGGCAAGCGCTTCTCAGGCAGCTCGGGCGGTAGCGAGGCCGTGCCATGCCGCGCAAGCTCTGCCCTGCTTGCCGCCCGCCTCCTGCTGCGCCAACCCGCTCCCCTCCCTGAGCCCGCATCTCTGCCCCGTGTAGCTGAGGAGGGCATCTCGCTGTGCCGGAAGATGAAGCTGGCGCCGGACGATGAGACACTGGCTGGCTTCGAGGCCATGCAGGCCGAGCTGCAGGCGATGCAGGAGGGGCAGATCAAGACTCAGAAGGCCGCCGAGGCCGGCAAGGGCGGCGCCGCCGCCGAGGCCAAGTGAGCGCACTGGCGGTGATGCCGAGCCGCCATGTGTCCAACCTGTGTATCACGGCACCAGCAGCATTTTGCGCAGCATGAATTAGATTGCCGCGCTACTTCGCTTGAATTCCCTTTCTGCATCCCTGTTTGTTTGCACTACATGCATGTCTTATCCTCCTGCTAGCTGCCCAAACCGTCCCCGCTACCCTGTTGCCCTTGACCCTCATCACCCGCCTTGTTGGCATGCTCTGAACTTATGCACCTGTGATTCGACGCATCAGACAGACAGGAGATAGCCCATGGTCGACTCAGCAGCCGGCCAAAGGGGTGCAGTGAAGGATCATGCAGCGTGGCGCCAGCGTGGTGGGAGTGGCGGGAAAGCGTCACACGATGTCACACACCCGTGACCGGTGTGTATATGCCCTGCAAAAGTTCAAAGCCTGCAAGTAGTGATTCACCAGGCATGAGCTTGGCAAGACCCTTCTGCGCAGCTTCGCACCTGTACATCGGCCTAAAAACGACGCTGCACCGCTTGCAGACTCGCTTTTTCTCCCATTATTTCAACAATCAACGCCTACAAGCAAGCCAGACAACTCCAAGGCGCTCCTACACCTTGCCCGAAGTCACATTCTTGTTGATCGCCGGGCACCGGGTAAACGGCGGCTGTAGGGGGTTGATATGAGGCCGCTGATTGTTGCATGGCTCCTGAGGCTGCCTCCAGGCGCCGCCGGCAGTCCTGCGGCGCGCATGGCGGCGCCGCTCTTGCCGTCGCTTGCTTCGCAGCTTCCCAGGCGTGCCTGTGCCTTGCATGCAGCTCCAGGGCCGCGTTTCACACCTCCATCGTGTGTGGCTGGCACTCCACAGACCATACAGCCACGCTCACAACGCTCACTGAGCCCCCTCGCCTCCTTTCCCTCCCTTCTGCAGACTTTGCCAGCTGCGACAATCAACAACCATGGCAGCGGTGCTCCGCCTGGCGGCTGCCCTGGCCTGCCTGCAGGCGCTGGCGGGCTGCGCCCATGCAGTAGCAATCAACAGCGGTGCCAGCGTGATGTGGGTGCGGGCGGGGTCCAACAGCAGCCCAAACTGCCACGCGCGGTGCGCCGCCGCGGACCTGCTGCCCGTGGGCGGCGGCGCTGCGCTGGACGGCAGCAAGTCCAACGTCACGCTGTGCGCTAAGCTGGACACAGGAGAGTACCCCAGCTACTCGTCCATGTTCCCAGACGAGGCTGCTGGCCGGGCTGGGGCAGGGCGCGGCCTGCCTCAACCAGAGCCGTGCTGCCCAACAACGGCTGCAGTCGTGCAGCATAGTTGGCCCTGGCCTTGACACCCCTGCCACACGCCCCTGCCGTCCCCCACGCGCTCAGGGACGTACTATTCAGGCTTGGGCTGCCGGGTGGCCCATGTACCCATTGATGTGGGCCTGCCCTACCCTTACCCACCGTACCAGTCCACCACCGTGGAGCTGCCGCTGCGCAGCGACTACCTGTGCGGCTGCGTGCCCAAGCGCACGACGTCGGCGGCGGGGCCCAACAGTCTGTGGCTGGGGCCCGTGGTGCAAGGCCAGGCCCTGAAGTGCCCCAAGCCGGCCGGAGGCAAGAAGTACGAAGAGTCCACCCCGTTTGTGTGCCGCATCCGCACCAACACCAAGGTGGGCGCGCTGCAGTGCTGCGCTGCAGAGTACTGCAGGCACTGCCAGCAGCTGCGGCACATGGGACAAAATGTGCATGCACGCGGGTGGTGTGTGCGCACCTTTCTCCCACCATGCCGCAGCCCCTCGCTGCTCCCTCCCATCCCTACACACTCTGTAATGGCCGCCGCCATCTCGCTGCCTCACCAACACCCTGTAGGTCTACCTGGGCTTCCGCCTGGGCTCCGACAGCTACTGCCGCATCCTGACCAAGGCGGGCAGCGAGCAGGGCGCCGTGTCTGGCTACGACAAGCTCTGCGTCAGCACCGCCCTCAGCTACACCGTGTTTGGGGAGCTGCAGACGTGAGGGCGCCAGGGTGCGCGCCCCCGGGCGGGGCAAAGCGCTGCCAGCGGACGGCGTCGGTTGCAACAGTAAATGCAGCCCCAATCATATGTAATTCATCACAGAATTGACTGAGGGAACTGTGAACAATAACAACGTTGTCATTTGGCAATGGTTGCGCCATCGGTCAAGCGGCGGCGCGCTATGCATGGCGAGCTTTGAAGGGTAGGGCATTGCCTGGCGAACCGGGTCCAACCGACGTCGAATTGCGATCGCGGGCACTGCTTGGCTCTTCCAGCTGCACTGGCTATAGCTAGTCCAGTCTCCACAGGAGTGGAACTCGTTCACCCACGCAGGCGTGGTGTGCAGGAACAACCCCCCGGGCGTCCCGCGAGTGCAGGTAATACTGTTGTCGATGCTGTGTGTGGAGGGAAGTGGGGGCTTACTACCCGTTTGCCGCGTGAGGTCACATGCAAGGGCCCAGGAGCTGCAACTCACTGGGTCAGCCGTCGGACGCCGTCGGACACCGTAACGACCCCTATTCCCCGCCGCTGCAGGCGCGGTACACCCGCCAGCAGCTATTGCAGCGGCGGCAGCCAACGGCAGCCACACGTTCCCGCGTCCCGCCCGCCGGCTGACACGCAGCCCACAGCACAGCGCACCTTGACCAGCACCCGCACAGGTCAGCCAACAGGCCAGCTGCACCATGCCCCGTGGTGCACGCTCCAGGGCCCTGCTGCACGACGACTGGCGCGAGTGGCGGCGGGAGCGGGACGAGGCAGCCGAGCAAGCTGCCGCCGACGACGCAGGCGCCGCCGCCGACCCCGCTGACTCGGAGCCCTGCTTCGCCACCCCCTGGACCTTCACCTGCTTCAAACACCAGGACGTGGCCGGCGGCGGGGGCGGCAGCGGGAACGGCAGCGGGGTCATCGCTTCCACCGCCACCCAGCCGACGTCGCCCATCTCAACCACTGTGCTGGTGCTCACAAGTGAGCGGGGGCCTGGGCTGGCTGAGTTGGCTGGCTGGCTGAGTTGGCCTGCTGCCGGGGCTGGCTGAATCGGCGTGCCGCGGCGGGGGTGCCTGCCGCCAGCCGCCCCAGCTGCGGCTGCGCCGACGGCGCGCATCCTCCCTCGTGCCCTCCTGCCGCAGTGACGTGCGTGGGCATACTGGCGGTCGCGTCCCTGCTCGGCGCGTACTGCACGGTTCGGGCGCGGCGCCGCCGCCAGCACGAGCGGGCGCTGGCCCGGGCCAACCAGCTGGCAGAGCGGCTGCCGAAAGGTGGGCTGACACGCTCGCTGCCTGCGGCGTGCAAAGCCGCTGGCTGCCTGGCAGGAGCAGGCTCGCAGCCGCAACACATGGAGGCGTGCCGCTGCCCCTGTGGGCCGCAGGCGGTGCTGTAGGCAGCCAGCTGCACGTGCGCCTGCGGCCTGCCCCCAACCCCTACTGCAGCCCACCGCAGCAGTGGACAAGGCTCAGCCCCCTCCTCTGAGGCTGGCTCGCTGACTGCCTGCTTCTTCCGGTGCTGCTGCCGCTGCCGGTGCTGCAGAGGGAGCGCCCCGGGAGGTGCTGATCCCGGTGTTGGTGCTGGGCCCTGACCAAACCACCATGCACGTGGCATTCGATGAAGAGTCGGCCGCCACGTGCGGCGGCAGCGGCCGCATTGCCGCCAGCAACTGCGCAAGCGAGGCCGCCTCAAGCCCAGAGCCGGCCGGGTGCGACGCCGCTGCGACGCCGCAGGGCGCTGCGGTGCCGGGCACCGAGGCAGGCAGCGTGGCGCGCGAGCGGCAGCAGCGGAGGTGGTGGCAACGGTGGCAGCCGGCTGGCCCGGCAGCCGTCGCGGAGGCCCCTCCAGGTGCGGCCGACGCCGCTGCACCCACCACTGGCGCCCCGCCGCCTCCGAGTGGCGCTGCCGCACCCAGCAGCCCGGCGCAGCCAGGCGTGCCCGACGGCAATGCTGAGGATGCAGCGCAGCGCAGCGCCAGCGGCGGCGGCAGCGACGCGGAAGCCGAGCCCCCAGGCGCCAGCCGCTCGCTGGTGCGGCGCGTGTGGTACCCGGCATCCCGCAGCGTGCTGAGCGTGGCTGACGTGGCGGCCCTGCACGCACATGAAGCCTCCCAGCTGGCCGGCGGCAGCGCGGCTGGCATGCCTGCGGCATCCGCTGGCAGCGCGGATGCCCGCCAGTGACGGCTTGCTGGCTGCGGTGGCAGGCCCACCATGCATCTCACCCTCCCCCTGCCTCTCATGTTGTGCCTGCTCCTCTCCCTCGATCCCTCTGCCGCGACCTCATACTTCATTTGAGCTCCATTTATATGATCATTCATGCATCCATTGTAGCGACGACGTAACGAAGAGTCTTGCCGGCGACAGGGCAGGCCTGCCGGCGGCTCACCCCTGCCGCGGCTCCTGCCCAGGCTCCTCCGACCCGCCAGCCAGCGAGCCGCCAAACGCCCGCGCGGCGTGCCGGCGCAGCATCCCCACATTGGACTCCTGTATGTGTTGCGCAGCCAGCTGCTGGCACTGGGCCCAGTCAAAGTCGCCGCTGCAGTATGCTTCCCTCACTTCCATGATCCGCACGCCTGCAGGCAGCGCAGGGCGCCGCCGATCGATCAGCGGCGCAGGGCAGCCTGCTGCAGAAGCCTATACCTGATGCGTTGCTTGCTTGCTACCCAGAGCGGGTGATATGCCGCGGCCCTTGGCGGCTGCCTGGATGGGCTCTGCGGGGAGCAACCGCTGCAGCGGCGCCAGGGCTGGGCGCCCGCCGCACACCCACCCAGCATCTGGCCCCGCTCTTGCGCCATCAGTACCGCCAGCCAGGCGTCGCCGTCGCGCGTCAGCGGACGCTCGGCTAGAAAGTCGCGGAGGTATAGGAACTCTGGGGCGGGAGGCAGGTCGCCGCCCTCGCCGCCGCCCCCCACCTGCGCCAGGACCACCCTGCAGGTGCATGAGACGAGAAGGGTAGGTCAGGGCAGTCGGCGCACGGCATGTGCGTGGGACCAGCGTGCGGCGGCGCCTGGACCGCTCCTGGCCTGGAGCGCTCGGCCGGCGCAGCAGGCGCCCTTTGGTCGCCACCAGCACACCACCCCGTGCCCAGGCGCTCACCGCAGTGCCACTGCTGTGAACAGCGTGCTCAGCATGCGTGCCGCCTTGTGCTCGGGCGCCGCGCCGCCAAACGTATCGGCAGGCACATGCATCCTGGCTGTGCAAGCATGCCCGCCCCTGGCGCTCCTGCCCGCTCTCCTGTGCTTTGTTGGCTGCATAGTGAGGCGCTGGGTGGGGCAGGCGCCCCGCAGAAGGGTCCCCATAGCAAAGCAAGCGGCTTGCAGGGATGCTAATTCGTGGGATCCAGATACAGGCAAAGTTCTACAGTGTGCCAGGGCTCGTTCGGCCTCCTGGGCGGCTTTTCCACCAAGTTGCAACCGCAGCACGCCCCGCACGGAGCCGCTATAATTGAGGCTCTATTTTGGCTAATTTGGGAGTCTGCAGCCTGTGTATCCTCCATTCAGCTTCCTCAAACGTCAGCGGGCACCACTCTGCCATTCATTCCCGTCTTTGGGAGCCCAGCGAGTCTAGCTCTCCCGCACCTAAGCGCTGCAGGCGCCACAGCCTCGCCACAGGTGCACCATACGATTCCAAGGCCTGTGCATGGGCCCGCTGCGGGGTTCGGCCGGGCAAGCCGCCCGCTGACGCCTGACCCGCCTCCTGCCGCCTCCTGCAGGACGGCCAGCATGAGCAGCTCAGGAGCAGCCCCAGCAGCGCCCCTGGTCGGCGAGCAGTTCCTGGAGCGCCGCCTGCGCCGCGCGGCGGCCATCCCGATCGCCGAGCGCGGCCCCGATGTGGCAGCCTTCCTCGAGTCGGTGCAGCTGCAGCGGGAAGTGCAGCAGGCGCTGCCCATCACCGCAACGGGGCAGCCAGCGCTGGTGGGGCCGCGCCTTCGCCACCACTTGGCAGTGATGTGGGCCTTTGCCAAGTGCGTAAAGGCCATTTACATCTGCCCAGAGCTTCCGCCGCTGCAGGGTGTGGTGAGGCAGCACCTGGCTGCGTACCTGCCAATGCAGCTAGATGTACCGCCAGATGTACCGCCAGACGCTGCCCCCAGCGGCAGCGGCACCAGCAGCAGCAGCAGCAGCAGCGGCAGCGGCGGCAGCAGCGAAGAGCTTAGCGAAGAGGGCGCTGTTGAGGAGGCGCTGGCCGCCGTGGCTGAAGACCTTCGGGGTCTCTCACTGTGGCTGGAGTGCACAGCAACCACCACTTCGCCGGACCCGAATGGCGATGTGTCGCAGTCCTGGCGCGAGGTCATGGAGACTGTGGATCGCAGCAACAGGCTGATGGGTCTGCTGGAAGATGCAGCCAGCGAACGACTGATGGCTTACCAGCTTGCGTTGCTGACACAGCTGGCCCAGCACCTGCTGCCAGTGTTGGACGAGACGCCCCACGGGCAGCTGCCCAGCGTGGAAAAAATGGAGGTCAGCAGGCTTCGCCTGGAGCGTGCCGCACCGCTGCAGCCGCTGCTCACCCTGCAGCAGCTGCAGCACGTCCACATCTGCACCATGGTTCATATCGTGAACAGACAGCTGCTGCTGGCAACGCAGCACCTTGGCGTGGCCCAGGTCGCAAGGTGGCGGGAGGTGCGTGCCGCAGTGTCTGGCTGGCAGGCGAAGCTGCTGGCACTGGAGCCTGTCACAGCCAAGAGCTGCTTCTTCGCGTCGGATGCGGCCTGGCTGGCTGAGGTTCACGAGGGTGTTGGAGGCGCAGCAGCCGCGACGAGGCCACTGCGCTCCAACCAGCTCATGCAGCGTGCTTTCCAGCTGGGCCAAGCCGAGGGCAGCGACTTCTGGACCGCCGTTGCTGGCAGCATGCTGCTCACGGGAGCGGTACGCGGTGCTACTTGGCTGGGCGTGGCCGACCGCGGCATGCTGGAAGCCGGGGTGGCAGCGGCTCCGGCAGCGATGGCGGCGGCACGCCGCGGCAAGGGCGTCCTGCCAGAGGCGTGGTCTAGCGGCATGCAGTCATTGGTCGACCCGGCGCAGTACTGCAGCCGCGCGTGCCAGGTGGCTCACTGGCCGGCGCACAAGGCACAGTGCCGGCGGGATGCCTGAGGTGCTGCTCCTTGCAAGCCCCTGGCATGCATGCAATGCTGTGCTAATGCTGTGCTTTTTTGTGTCCATCGCAGTGTCTTTGTTCTTACTTTCATCGCCAAAATGTGGCACCTGTATTGTACAGCAGTATCAGGTCGGGCCGTTGCACACGTGTAAGCAGGGCAATACAAGACGATGGGGGGTTCACTGAAGGACCAGCTTCGGATGTTGTGTCAAAACAACTGTGCTGAGTTTAGGAGCACCAGCGCGCGTAAAACAGCGACGAAGGTGCCCGCAGTCAGGCAAACTTGCCCACCGCCGCCATGGCGCCCGCCCCCGCGTAGAACGACAGGAAGGCGGCGACCTGCAGCGGCCACCGCTGGCTGCGCAGGAGGGAGGAAGGGGGAAGCCGGCAGCACAGAAGGGATCGAGAAAGCGGTCGCGCTGCAGCGGGCAGGCGCAGCGGGCGCCTCCCATCTGTGCCGCAGCCGCAGCGCAGGCCCTGATGCCGCCACCTTGCCCGCCCAACAACCCAAGGAGACCACACACACCGCCAGGAAGGGCTCTCAGGTGGGAGCGAGCGGCAGGCGAGAATCCGTGTCCGGGAGACGGGCGGGCAATGTGTGTGCGCCCGCGCCAGCTGGCGTGCGAGGGTGGCCACCCGCAGCGGCAGCCTGCCTCGCTGCCTCACCTGCGCAGCCAGCGGGAGTCTGTCATCATGGGCGTGATGAGCTCGCACAGCACTGTGTAGATGAGGATGCCGGCGGACAGGGCGTCGCAGATGCCGGATGCCAGCAGCGCGGCGGCGGCATTGCGGTTGAAGCTCTCGCGCACCGCGATGCCTGCGGGGAGCAGGGCAGGGCGGGTGAAGCCGGGCGGTGCTGGTGGTGGGCTCGGCGGCAGCAAAAGGAGCAGCGGCGGCCGGCGCGGGGAGCTTCCACCGGGGCCGGGGGGAGGCAGGCGTGCGCTACACGGGCCAGCCGGGGAGCGGCTGCGGCCGGGCGCCCTCCGCCGCGCGCGCACCGATGGCGATGCCGGCGGGGGTGGTGACCGAGAAGGCCAGCCCCATGGCGCCGGCCTCCCTGGCGCTCAGCCCAGAGTCCACGGCGGCGGAGCCGATGGCAAAGCCCTCAAAGAACTGGTGGAAGGAGAGGGCCACGAGCAGGGTCTTGAAGCCGGTGCCGGAGGTGACCCCCAGCGTCAGCCCAATCATGACTGCAAGGGGGCAGGCAGGCAGGAGGGAGGCAGGGTACAGGTCGGCAGGGCAAGCAGCGGGTGGGTGAGCAGGGGCGAGGGGGACAACAGGGTGGCTTGCGACGGCTGGGGGCGTGCGTGCATGGGTGGCGCAGCAGCGCAGAGCGCAGGGAAGCGCAGCAGGCACCCCCCGTGCGCGTGCATCCCCACCTGAGTGGAAGATGATACCTGCCTCTGCCAGGTACAGACCGATGATCTGGGAGGCGGGGGCCGGGGCAGCCGCTCCCTGCTGCGGCCCGACGGGCTGCTGCGGCGGCAGTTGGTGGCCCAGCAGCGGCAGCGTGCTGCACACCTCGCAGGCCCCTGCAGCGGCAGGCGGGGAATAGAACAGGCAGTCTGACTGACAGACTGAAGGACTACCAGGTGCAGCCGCCCTTGAGAGCGCTGAGCTGAGCTGCACGCAAGGGCTCTGCCAGCACATGGCAGCCGCCAGCGGACAGCAAGCACGCAAGCTCGCGCCACCTTCTTGCTCGTCTGCGCTTCCGCCAGCCTCCCCATCCGCCGCTGCTGCCGCCGCCTCCGCCTGGCCCTGCTCTGCCGCTGCCGCCGCCCCCGACTCCCCATCCGCTGCTGCTCCTGCTGCGCCGGCGCCTGCATGCTGCACTGCCGGTTCTTTGGAAGAAAGCGCGGTGATGATGGACACATGCCACGCGTGGCAGCCATCCTCCAGCTGGCTGTGAGCTAGCGACTGGCTGCGGCTGAGGTCACCGCCCACCTGCTGCTGCTGCTGCGCCGCCGCCTGCTGCCGCAGGTGCTGCCCCTGGTTGCAGGGGAGGGGCATGGGCAAGCGAAGGCAGTGACGCGCATGCACTGCCGGAGCAGACAGCAAGGTGCCTGGATGAGGTGGCCGCAGCAGCAGCAGTGGCAGCAACGGCGGCTCCAGTCACGTTGGCCGGGCAAGCGCGTGGTGCACAAGCCACTGGTGCGTAAGCCTGCCTTGATGAGGCAGCCAATGGGGCAGCGGCAGCGGCGGCAGCAGCGGCAGGCATGCCAGCCGTTGCATCCAGCCCCGCCCAGCCATCCAGCCCCCAGCCCAGCCATCCAGCCCAGCCCAGTCCAGCCCAGCCCAGCCTGCCTTTAGGAGGAAGTCGATGAGGTGCATGAGCAGCACCGCCAGCGTGACAAACAGGTAGGCCCAGCCGTCGAAGCTGTCGGCCCAGGCACGCGGCAGGCAGGGGCTGGCAAAGCTCTGCGCCGCGGGCAGCAGCATGTGGATGAAGCTGGTGGAAAGGATGGTGCCGAAGCCTGCACGTGGGAGCGGGGGGCGTGCCGGGGAGGGTATGGTGGGCCAGGATGTGTTGAGTGAGGGCCTCATCTCCTGCCAACGTATCCCCAGCCTCCTGCCAACCATCACCAGCCTCCCAACCCCTGGCCGCCCGCCTGCCCCAGGCCGCCTGCAAGGCCGCCCCAGCCTGAGCAGCTCACCGAAGAAGGTGCCCAAGCGGATGGCGGTGGAGACGGCTGAGGAGGCGCTGGAGAGGTGCAGCGCCACGGGGCCTAGCGACCCCGCCAGAGACACGCCCAGCAGCACAACCACGGCAGCCAGGTGCAGTGGCAGGTCATAATCCTGCTGCGCCCCCGGCCCGGCGCACGGGTCCCCTGGCTCCGGCTCGGGGCCCTCCCCCGGCAGCCCCGATGGTGCTGCGGGGCAGGCGGGAACCGGGTGGCGGGTTGGAAGGCGGCAGTAGGCGGCGGCGGCGGCGGGTGGTTGGAACGGGTCGCGGAGCCGGCGCGGCGTGAACCGCGACGTCATTCAGTGGAAGCGCCACAGGCGATGGCTCACCGCTTGCTGCTGCTGTTGCGACGGCGCCACCGATCAAAGGCCGCGCTGCTGCGTTTGTTGGGTACCTAGGGACCTGCAGATCGTGATTTTCCACTCCAGGATGCTCCTCTGCGCTCGCCGCCAGCAGGAGAGTGACGCAGGCTACAACTCTGAGGCGGACACGCCACCCGGAAGGCGGCATCGTTCGGCTCCAGACACGGCAGGATGGGAAATGACGGAGATGAGGGAGCCGCTGAAGAGACACCCCCACGGCAGGCCATGCTGGCGCCCCGCCTGCTGTGCGCCGCGGGCCGCCTTCCAGGCCGCATCGGCCTCGAGGCATCTGCACGGCCTCATGCACATACTGCATCAGTGGTTGCAGTGTGGAAAGGCGTGCACGGAAGGCTTGCTGAAGCATAACGGTTATTTGGAGGGCGAACTCTGGCTCGGCGGCAGTGAGTAGCAGCAGAGTGGCGCCGCCCCAGTATGACCCGCTACCCTTGCCCCGCTGGCCGTTGCCCCGCTGGCCCTTGCCCGGCGGCTAATAGCCAGAAAGCTCCACGCCCAGCCACCCCCTGCCGCCGCCCGCCAGCCTTCCATGCCGCAGGCCCAATTTTACGTGCGGCTTAATCGGCGGCCACACCAGTAGCATAGACGCAGAGTCAACGGTGCTTCCCACCTCGCAGCCAACAGCTGCTGCTGTTGCTCGGGTGCCCCCCAGCGGCGGCATGGCGACGAGCGTGCTTACAGCGCGAGGGGCAGCGGCCCGGAAATGCAGCGACGGTCGGCAAGGCAGCCAGAGCATTCACAAAGAGGGTGGGCGCCAAGCTGCCGCATCACATCTCAAGCCAGGAGCGAGCCGCCCCTCCGCTGCCAACAGGAGCACCGCCGGCGCTGCCGGCCGCCGCCGCCCGCTCTCGCTCCACCCAGCTCACACCACCCCCAGCAGCGTGCGCACTTGCGCGGGGGTGTGGCGCACCGCCTCTGCCACCTCTGCTGCCGGGTAGCCGCTGCCGGGGTCTGTCAGCGCCGCATGCACTGCGCAGGCGGGCGCAGGCAGGCGCGGGTGAGGGCCGACGAGAGTGGCGGCGCACCGCGGCAGCGGGTGGGGAGGGGGGAGGGGGCCACGGCCCCGGGGGCGGGCAACGCAGCCAGCACCGCTGCACTACCCACGCCGCTCAAATGTTGTAAATATACGTTTAACTAGCAGCATTTGCCTACCTGCGGCATAGGCATCTGCCAGAGACTGCAGCACTCTCTGGATGGCCTCCGCCTTGAGGCGCGGCACCTGCGGGGCAGGGGAGGGGCGGCCAGGGCGGGCTTGAGAGGGAGGGGTGGGCCCCCGCGGGTGGGCTGATGGCGCGCGGTGGCTGGCTATACTGCATCCTGTTTTGTGTGGCGGTGTGGTGCCGGTATATACCGATATTCTTTATATATAAAACATATATACACAGTTTTGATAGGCTGTACGTACACTGCACCAACATACTATCCATATCACACGCATGCCCACGCAGACTGCTGAACACCCGCATGCATGCAGGCGCACCCACGGCTGTGGACGACCCACCTGCAGCTTGGGCAGCTCAGGCAGCATGGCTGGGTCCGACAGGCGGGCGAAGAAGGTGCGCATGGCGGCGCCCACGCGGGGCAGCTCCAGCGAGGGGTCCCCCGCAGCAGGCTGACCCTGGTCCTGCGGGCGGGCGGGCCAGAGAGAGCCGCGATGGGACAGGGGTGGGTGAGGCGGGGGCGCAGGAAGGAGGAGTTGGCCTGGTGGTGGCATATGTGTGTGGGTGTTTGTTTGTTTGGTGTTGGTGTGTGCAGGTCCAGGGGAGGGCCCACAGTCGGGAACGCCAGCCAGGCGAGGAACCCAAGGACGCGCTTGTGGAGGAGGCGTCCGGCGCGGGAAGCGGCGGCCCGGCGCAGGCAGGCCGCCCTCACCTGCAGCTGCTGCAGGCGCGCCGCCACCTCAGCCAGCCCGCACTTGGCCAGGGTGCGTGCCACCTCAGCGCCCACCACCGCCGCCACGTGTCCCTCCAGTGCGTCGCTGCAGGCGGGAGGTGGGGCGAGGGCAGGGTGCCGGCAGGCGGCAGGTGGTGGGCGTGGCGACCCGGGGAGATGAGCGGGCAAGTAGGGAGGGCACGGGCGCGCGCCAGCCGCCGAGCCGGCCGCCGAGCCGGCCGCCGCACATGCATGTGAGGCAGCAGGGCAGCCAGGCGGCACGGCCGGGCTGCCGGCACCCTGGCAGCCAGCCACCCAGCCACCCCGCCCCAGGCCGGCCCCCCAGGCCAGCCCCCCAGGCCAGCCACTCACTGGAGCTGCTGGGCCTGGGCCAGTGCGCACTCGTGGCCCGCCAGGGGCGAGGCCAGCACGAACAGGCAGTTGACCAGGTACACCCGCTGGTCTGTGGGATCGAGGTGGGAGCCCTCGTCCACGCTGCAGGGGGGAGGGAGGGAGGGAAAGGAGGAGGGGGGGAGAACCAAGTGAGTGTCGGGTGTGAGTGTGTGTGTGGGGGGGGGGGGGAGGGGGAGACGGAACGGGGGAGGGACTCTGGAAGGGGATGGGGGCGAGATGGCGAGGGCAGGGAGGTATGCGCAAGAGCAGGAGGGGGCGGGGCAGAGAAGCATGGGCACGGCAGCCTGCCAAGTCCTAGCCCCGTGCAGGCAGCTGCAGGAGCAGGGGGTGCTCACCGGGAGGCGGCGGTGGGGTTGAGGGCCTCGCTGCTTCGGGCGCACATCTCCACGAGGGGGTCCACCACAGCAGACAGCACGGCTGCAACAGGGGGAGAGGTGCCAAGCGTGTGTGCGAGCCTGTCTGTGTGCGGTGGGCGAGTGGGCAGGTGTGGCGGGTCGGCGTTGGGGCTGGGGCGAGGAGGGGGCGCGGCAGGCCGACTCGCCGGCAGGCCACAGGTGGGCAACCTGAGATGTGCAGGCAAAGGCGCAAGCAGCAGCCGGCGGCCCGGCTAGCCACCGCAGCAGTCCGAAGCAGGCAGCCCCCAACCGGACCTGAGAAGTCGTCCACACCGGCCTGCTGCCCCTCCGCCTGCTGCGGGTCGAAGCTCTGCTCGTACGAGGCGATGAGGTCGGCCGCCAGCTGGGCGCCCTCCAGCAGCTGCAGTACACGCAGTACAAGGCGGCACAATGACGGTACACTGTTGGCAGCAGCAGCTTGGCAACCACAGCGAGGAAGCAGCCTGGAAATGTCACGGCACAGCGAGCAAAGTGGCATTCTGGCTGCCCTTTCCCCTGCCTGGCACAGCCCTACTGCCGCTCCTTAGCCCCTCCCCCAAGCACCTGCGGCGGCGGCGCCAGGTCCCGCGGCGGCGGCGGCGGGTAGCGCAGCAGCTTGTCGCCCCGCTGGCGCAGACCCTCCTGGAACGTGCGCACCGCCATGGCTCGGCTGGACCGCAGCGCCTCTGCAGGCGGGGGCAAGCAGCGGTGCGTTGCTTACGCTCGCTCGCTGTGGGCAGGGTGGGGTGGGGCCCAGCATGTGCTGCCTGTGCTCGTCTGTGCGCAGACGAGGCAGTGGGGTCGAGTCTGGATTGAGAGCATACACAGCCGCCACCACACGATCGCTAATGCAGCACCGAACACACGGCCGCTGCCCGCACCAGCGCAGCCCATGCGCACCTGCCAGCTGGCTGCCCGCCCCCAGCAGGCTCTCCACAGTGGCCAGGTAGAAAGCCAGCAGCTGGGTGAGGCGGAAGCATAGCAGCGGCGGCGGGCTGCTCATCAGCACTTGCTCGATGCGCACCTGCTCGGGGCAGCGGGACAGGGGGCGGTGCGAGGGAGCAGTGTGTGTGAGGGAGCAGTGTGCGTGTGTGTGTGTGTGTGTGTGTGTTTGTGATGGGGTGTCATGCGTGTGAGTGAATTGTGTGTGCGAGGAGTGTGAGTGGTGGGCGAGTGCAGGCGGTAAAGCCCACTCCTTCCCCACCTTGACCGGCCGGCACACGCTCTCAAACACCGCATCCAGCAGCTGCGCTATGGTGGGGGCTCCCCCGTCGGCGGCCCCACCCACGCCCATTTCTGCCGCCGCTGCCGCTGCCGCCGCCGCCCCGCCGCCGCCGCTGCCGCTGCCATTCTGCTGCTGGTGCTGGGAGTCGTCTCCGAACAGGGAGACGAGGAACTCTTGCTCGGAGGCCAGGGAGGCATGTAGCCAGGCCAGCATGTCTGCAGGAGGCGACAGCGTGACAACAGGCACGGGAAAGGGGCGAGGTGGGCGGGCTGAAGCCGGATCGCTGCGCCCGCTGTCCTGTCCGAGGGCAGGTGTCAGCAGGAGGGGGAGAGTGCTAGGGTAGAAGGAGAGGCTGCGATGTGAGGCGGAGCATGCAGAGCGCGGGGCACAGCCGCGGCCCCTTACCCCAAAGGCTTCACCGCCGCCCACCTGAAACATAGCGCCGCGGGTCGTGAGCATGCACCTCAATCGGGCGTGGGCCGCGCGTCAGCGCCTGCAAGAGACGGGCGGGAAAGTGCATCAGCGTTTGCACGGCTAACTCAACCCACACTGGTGGGAGTGGTGGGGGTGTATGCAGCACACGGCAGGTGTGCATGCCAAGCTAGGCTGGCGGCATGGCACAGGCCAGGTGCAAGCTGCTCCGAGCAGCACCGGCAGGGCAGGGGTTCCTCCCTCCCGCCCCCCGCCGCTTGCTGCGATTGGGAACACAGCTCCTCTCCCAGCACTGCACAGCCCCACCCCTCTCAGGCCAGCCCTGCTGACCACAGCACCAGCCCTGCTCGCCTTGATGAAGCGCTGGAAAAGCGCGGTGTGCCGCGCCTGCGCCACCTCCTCCGCACAGTACTTGAACAGTACCTGCGGTATGGTACCGCAGCACAGCGTTTGAGATGGCAGCGGTGCCCCACAGCAGCAGGCAGCGGGCCGCCCGGCGGCACGCGGGGCGAGGAGGGAGGCGAGGACAGGCAGGGGCCGGCAGCAGCTGCCGTGCAGCTTCTCACCGGCCGCTCCCGCAGCGCCGCAGCCGCCTGCTGCAGCAGGGGGTTGACCTCGGGTGCGTCTGCCTCGCTGAGCTCCCGGCACTCCTGCTGCACCCACCTGCAGGCGGGGGGGCGGGACAAGGGCAGGCGGTACGGATATGGCAGGCGGTACGACAGGGCCAGCATCACAGCACGATGGGCTGGACCGGCCCCGCCGACTCCCAGCATCGCCAAATCAAGCATCGCCAAATCGATTGAGACAAGAACAGACCAGGGCGATACCTGCACAGCCGCTCGTAGGCAGCTTCCTGCAAGCTGCCCATGGTGTCCATGAGCTCCAGCCCTGCACGCAGGCACTGTAGTGCGCCCAGTGAGCACAAGCAGAGGAGCAGAAGGAGAAAGAGAGGCACTCGTTGCGGCCAGGCCGCTGCCCGCCCGCTTCTCACCTGCTCGCTGGTGGTGCGTGCGCAGCAGGGTCTTGCAGTTGCCGTGGATCTGGCGCACGTGGGCCAGGGCCTGGAAGAAAGCGTCGCCCATCTCCTCGCCCTGCGCCGCCACCGCCGGGGGCCAGGCACGGTACAGCAGGCGGTATCATCACAAGGATGCAGCAACTGATCCCCAGGACGCCATCCAAGCCATTCACAGGAGGGCAGGGTCCAGCAGGTGGAGCGGATGTGCATGCATCGGCATCGCAGGCAGGCAGCAGGGGCCTGAATGGCAGCGGGCTGGCACCACACCGCAGCGGCTGCTCCCCGCGCTGCGCAGCAGAACAGACATCCCATGCCACCCCACCTGCAGTGCTGCTGCCTCTGAAGGCGTGAGCTGGTACTGCTCCAGGAACCGCCCCACCAGCTGCGACCGCGTCTCGCTGACCTGCTCGGAAGGTACGGCAAACAGGCAGAGGCAGGGGGTGGGCTGTCGAGGTGAGGCTGAGGTCTGCCCTCCCACAGCACATTGCTGACACCAGCGCAGCACAACCCTGCGGGAACACAGCGGCGCCTCCCGAAACACACCACACAGCCCCAGCCGCAGCAGCAGGCTTCAACCGCAGCAAGCGGAGCTGCTGCGCTCAGCCATGTCTCACACACATGCGCACCTGCAGCGCCCGCTGCAGCTTGTCTGTGTCATGCAGCAAGTCGGCGGCGGCCGAACGGGACCCCGCCAGCGAGGCGCCCATCGACTCGCAGCAGGCTGACAGGGAGTCCAGGTCTCCCTGCACCACATCCAGCATCTGCAGGGAGGGAGAGGGAGAGGCGAGGCGGTCTGGGGTGGGAGACGGCGGCACGGTGAGGCTATGGCAGCACCGGCGGGGGAAGGTGGCACATGCGAGTGGCAGGCTCACCCGGCTGCCTGACACGTGTTTAGGCGGCTGCCCACGCACCTTGATCACGCCCTGCGCCTCCTCCAGGAACTGCTCGTTGATGCGCACGCCCTGGTTCTCGATCGTGCTGCGCAGGCGGCGGCGGGCGGCGGGGGAGTTGTCCTCGAAGAAGTCGGACAGCGTGGCCAGCGAGCCCACCACCTCGGGCGCCTCAGTGCGCGTCTCCATGATCTGCAGGGAAGGAGTGGCCGCTGGGCGCAGGTTTAGGCGCAGTTTGTTTGCGGGGCGTGCGATCGCGGCCCTGCCGTCGCCTGCTCCCAGCTGCTTCACGCGCCTTCTTCACTTTGCGAGCCAGCCCGGGCGCCAGAGCGGGCTGAGCCCCGCTGTGAGCGCTCGCCATGGCTGCTGCTGTGTCTTTCTGGTGCAGCTGTTTCACTGGCACTGCTTGTCCAAGCGATCAGAATACCCAACAGCCCAACAGGCCAACCACAGAACGATCGGCGCCAGGTGGACTTCAAGACATGTCGTCGTTCCATTCGGCAAGCCCGCATTGCCCGGCCATCATTTGAACCTGCAGTTTGCGATCGGCATCGCGCCGACGGTCTGAAAGCCTCCCTGCGCATGCTCCACCATCCAAGTTTCACGGCTGCTTGGTTTCTGTGACGGCTGCCGGGCATTGACCATTGATTGAGCCTTTGAAGCACATCGGGGTGCAGCAGGGGCGCTGCGGGGAGCTCCAGCGGCGGACAGCCAGCGACCGGCGGCAGGCGGCGGCGGGGGCCAGAGCCTGAATGACGGCTGGGAAGAGCGGGCTGCACCCGGCTGCCGACTATGTGGCAGGGGCCATCGCGGGCAGCGCCAACATCGCCCTGGGCTTCCCTGCAGACACGGTCAAAGTGCGGCTGCAGAACAGGCTCAACCCCTACAATGGCGCCTGGCACTGCGCCACCTCCATGCTGCGCAACGAAGGGGTGAGGGCTGCTGGGTGCGGGAGGGGCAGAGGGCTGTACCCTCGGGCAAGGAATGAGGGGCTGGCTGGCCGGGGCTCGCGCACTCACGGATACATCAGCGGGAGTCAGGAGGCTGAGGGAGGGAGCGAGGCGGCCAGTCAGCAAGCGGCTGCAGGCTTGCAGCGCCCGGCCCGAGTTTCTCATGCTAAGCTGCTGAGGGGCCTTGGCGGTACCGCCTGCGTGCCGCCCGCAGGCACGGTCACTGTACCGCGGCATGTCCCCGCAGCTGGTGGGCGGCGCGGTGGAGACCGGGGTCAACTATGCCGTGTATCAGGCCATGCTGGGGCTGACCCAGGGCCCACGCCTGGCGCTGCCCGAGGCGGCGGCGGTGCCGCTGTCGGCCGCCGCTGCCGGCGCGGTGCTGTCCGTCGTGCTGAGCCCGGCGGAGCTTGTCAAGGTGCGGGCGCTAGACGGCGCTGCGTGCGGGCCTTTGGCGGCATGCAGGCGGGATGGGAGGTGCCCCCGGCTGGTGTTGTGTGTGGGCAAGCAGCATGGCCAGCCGGCTGGCCAGTGTATGGCTCGCCCGCCCACGCAGGCTGCGAGAGGGCTGCTGTCTGCATGCTGGCCAGGGTGTTTCCCGCACATGCAAACACACCACCTGCCCGCTGCCCCCGCGCTGCCCGTCTGCAGTGCCGGCTGCAGCTAGGTGGCACAGAGCGCTACCACTCGTACCGCGGCCCTGTCGACTGCCTGCGCCAGACGGTGCAGCAGGAGGGGCTGCGCGGGCTGATGCGGGGGTTGAGCGGTACCATGGCACGGGAGATACCGGGGAACGCCATTTACTTCAGCACCTACCGCCTGCTGCGGTACTGGGTTTCAGGTGGCGACCCCGCAGCGACCGCCGCCGCCGCCTCAGGTGCCACAGTAGCCGCAGCCAGCCAGCCCCGCAGCCTGCTGGCATTCCTGGTGGACTCGGCGTCCGCGGTGGTGTGCGGCGGGCTGGCGGGGATGGTGATGTGGGCGGCGGTACTGCCCCTGGATGTGGCCAAGACCCGCATCCAGACCGCCTACCCGGGCAGCTACCAGGACGTGGGGGTCGCCCGGCAGCTGCACATGGTGTACCGAGAAGGTGGGCGGCAGCTGCCTGGCCTCGTGCGGCAGTTGGGTGGGTTGGAGCCCTGGGAGAGCACAACCCAGCCGGCCCTCTGCCACCTAGCCACAATGCCCAGTCACCCACACCCACCCACGCCCACCCACCTGCTTGCAGGCGGCATCCAGGCGCTCTACGCGGGGCTGAGCCCCACCCTGGCACGGGCCTTCCCAGCCAACGCGGCGCAGTGGCTGGCCTGGGAGCTGTGCATGCAGCAGATGCAGCAGTGGGGCGGGGGAGGAGGGCGCGGCGGGAGCAGCACGTAGCGGACGGGACAGCCGCAGAGCGCGCGCCTCCATGCGGTCTGCTGTGCTTCCAGTTGTGAGAGACGTTTCAGAGTCAGAAAGAATTGAGAGACAGAAGCATGACTGACACAATCTGAACAAGAACGCAATTATGCAACGAGACAAACAATGAGCTGATTTCTGAGAGAAAACAGGGCGGGCAGCTGAGATCCAACAGCGCTGCTGCTATGCAGGCAGCAGGTGCTGCTGCCGCAGCATGGCCTCTGGATCGGGGTACCAGCCCCCTCCCGCCTGGCACAGGCCGCCGCTGCTATTGCTGCCGCTGCTGCTAGCACTACTGCTGCTGCTGCTGCTATGACTGGTGCTGGTGCTGGTGGTGGGAGAGGACAGGAGATCTTCCACCATGCAGTGAGCCTCCTTTGCGCCTCCAGGCTGCAGCAGCCAGGCAGGCGCAGGGGCCACACACGCCAGCGTCGGCAGGCAGGCGGGGTCAGAAGCTGCCCCACACATCACACCCCCGGCCCGTCCCCACGCAGTACTACCGCCAGTCCCGCCCACCTCTAGCAGGCGGTGGCGCAGCAGCTCGCCGGCTTCCCTCCCGGTTGGGTTGGGCGCCAGGTGGTCCCTCCACACGGCGGCAGACAGGCACTGGGCGTACAGGTAGCTGTAATAGGTGGCCCCGTATCCCACCAGGTGGGTGAACCTGCGGTACCGTCATCGCAGGCGGGAGGTGGAAAGGATGGTGGAGGCTCGGCGAGGGGCTCCCCACAAGGTGTCATGCCAGGCGCTGCCGCTGCAAGGCGCGACCAGGGTGGCCTCTAGCACGGCTTGGGCGAGCTGCGCGGCAGTGGGCGCAAGCACCGGCTCCGACCGCCCGCGCACCTGATGTGCGGGTGGCAGCCCTCGGCGTGGCCCAGCGCGCTGTGCTGGCGCATGATGTCTGCCACCTGCTCCTCGCCGGCGTGCCCCGTGGGCGGGTCGGGGCCGTGCAGGAGCTGGTCGATCAGGCAGTACTGGAGCTGCAGGGGGAGCAGTACAGGGATG